TGGCAGGAAATTTAGAGACCAGGCCACCCCAACATTAGCTGTCTCTTATGGCCACAGGCCAACATGGATGAAGCTGACACTTCCTGGATGGAGCTGACACTTCCTGGTCTGGGATCAAGCTCAGCTGAAGGACCAAAATGGAGAGCCTGTCCCTGCCCCAGGCCTGGCTCTGGAATCTTCCCTCAGCTAGAAGCTCTAAAAACTTCATTGCAGATGCTTTTGCCCAAATGGCAGAGGGGCTGGCTCCCAAAGCCTGAGAGACCTGCAGTAGACACTCTTCCTCGAGGCTCTTCTGAAGAAGCCAGGGTGCATTTGAAGGACTGAAAGCAAAGACTGTAATCCAGTAGGGTTTCTGGGAGAAGCATTACATAACCCCTGCCCCTACCTCCATTACTTCTCACATGCAGAGAGCCATGGAGCTCCAGGTGGCATACCCGCCATGCTTTGAGGCTGGGATGCCCAGAAATGCCCTGGGCCAAGCAAGCAGTGGAGGCAAGGGTGGGTGGTAAGGTCCATAGGCTTTTCCTTCTCTCCTACCAAAGCCTGCCTGGCCAAGCAGCCCCTCAGCCCCTCAGGTCCTGTACTCCAAGTCTTCTTCAGTCACTCTCCTAGAAGAGAACAAAGACTTAGCTGCCTTGGGCCAAGCCTAACATGGCACTCTGTGTCTTCATACTCCTAGAGCCCCCAGGATTTCATTCAGCTGCTTTGACAGGAGACAGTGTTTCCCCACACAGCCACTTTCCCTCAGCTGGGAAAGACCAGTCACATGAAAGCCCATGTCAAGACAGGCTCTAAGACCTGCACACTTTCATGGGGTGCCATCAGCCTTGGCTACAAGAAGGTGCCAGTCCTTGATCAGTGGCTGCCTCAACCCAATGCCAGCCCCTTTCCTTACCAATCAGATGACTTCAGAGGCAGGGTGTCCCCTGACCAAGTCAGCATCCGTTGGCCCTTCTGTGAAGCCTCCAATCAGAGACAAACCCTTGGGGGCTCATCAGCGCCTGAAGCCAGCAGTGACCTCCTGGTGTTCCTGTTCCCAGGCCACTGGGGTCCCTGAACCCCCACACAGCTAGGAGCCTCTCAGAGAGCTGCCTCACCCTGCCTGACACCAGCAGGGGAGACTGACAGTGGCTCAGAGGAGCTCATGCCCATGGCTGCAGAACGCTCAAGACCCTGGCCCAGGGTGGCACCCACCCACTGGAGAAGCTGTCGGACCTGTTGTCTGGATGCGTGACACTCTCACTATGGGCCCTGTACACCTCAGGCTGTAAGCAGGTGAGGGCTGGATGCCGGGCTGCCTGACTGTGGAGGCTGCTTGTCTGCTCAGACCCAGGAGCCAGCCCCTCCCAAGCTCCCTGAGGAGCCCTCCCTTACATGGAGCATGCATCGCTCAGGGCTTTGTGTCTGGGGACTCAAAGCTACCAGCTCACTGCCCCAGTGCACCTGCCTCCCACCTTGGTCACAGTCCTGGCCAGCCTACCTGCCAGATGACAAGTCAGGAAGAAGACTGGGAGAGAAAAGAGGTTCCTGGGGTGGAGCAAGGTTGGAAAGGAAGCCATTCCTTCTTCTCCAGGGCTCCCTGGACTTGGCCTCTAAGAGGGGCCATGGCTGGGGAAGTGAAAGAGGGCAAAAACCCTTGGGTGGCAAATCATTAGCTCCTTTTCAAGAAGCCAGGTACAACAAAGCCCCCTCTGTGCACCTCACATCTTTCCACATGCCCACTTTCTTCTGCCTGGTTTCCCCCAGCTGCTGGGAAGCCAACCTGAGACAGAAGAACCAGAATATTGAGTTTCAGCATCTGCATCTGCCAAGGCCGGCAGGGTTTTAAGGGCCAGCCCAGTGGGGCAGGCATGACCAGAGGTTTACTGCTTTCCCCACCTGCACACACATCTGGGGAACCAGCCCATCTCTCAGTGGGTTGTGTGGGGTGGCTTACATGAGATCCCATGCACAAAGCCCAGGACACATACAGGTATACATATCTATGCAACACTAGGAGGTCACCGATGGCTGTGTCACATGTGTAACAGTGAGAGTTTGCAAGGATGCACACCAAGCTGACCATGGGAGTTAGTTCTATAGCAGGGCTTAACATTGTGGGACAAGGGGCTTTTTTAGCTACACCTGTAATGTTTGCCTTTTTCAGGAGGATATCATCAAGCAGGACTCGTGTAATTATTTTTTACATGCAATGTGCTAGCACATAGTAGGTGCACCAGAGAAAGTAGTGGTCAGAATTGACTTACTTTTATGCCAGAGGCTTTTCCACAGTGGGCATGCCCTAAAGACCAGGCTTGTAAGACCAAGGCAAGTCCAGCCCTCAATTCAGGAGGCCAGAATTGCTCTCCAGGGACTCTGGTCAAGATGCCATCCTACCAGCCCTTTATTTCTGCTAGGTGCCAGAGATGCAGAAGGCAATGGAAGTTAGTCCCTTCCCTTTAGCAGCTCCTGATCCAGTGCAGGGACCAACTACGTACCCCTCTAATGCCAAGCCTGGGCAGCCCATAGGAAGTTTCAAAGAGGAACGATAAACAACACACTGCAGAAGAAACCCCTCCCCCAAGGCAAGTATGAATGAGTCCTTCCCCTCTCCCACCAGCCCATGGGGAAATTGAAGTCTTCGTGGGAGATGGGTTGGGCTAATGCTGGAGTGCTTGGGCAAGGCCAAGGGGAGCTTGGAAGGGAAATCGCAACAAGGGGGCAGATGAACCCAACAGATTTTAGCCAGAAGGCTTGGTAGGAGGTGCCAGCCCCTAAAACAATAGGGCCCCTCACAGAACTCTGCAGAGGAGCCCACTGCCAGTCTCCCAGGTCATCATGGAGGCCAGCATGGGGCAGCTCTTGCCTCTGTAGATGGAGCAGGCAGGCAGGGCTAGCAACAGCCAAGCAGTCACACCACAAGGTAAGGTATGGAGGGTAGCCAGGGTCTAGGCATGTGCTCCACCTTAGCTCACCTAGCCCAGGAAACATTTCTCCAGGGGGCTGCCACACTGTTTGTTTGCATCTCAGCTAAATTGCTCCCAAGGGTGAACCTTTGTTTTGCAACATATTTTCAGCCAGACTCCTTCTGAAAACATGTCCGTGTCTGCTCACACACACACACACACACACACACCCGTGTCCCATAGGGTAGGCCTTGCCCCAACCCGCAACAGCCTTCTCTTCCTCTGAGCCTTCTGGCACAGCCAGCTGGAACAGAAGAAAGGGGCAGCTTTCAGAGAGCCACTCAAGGGCAGGCCTTCTGGCATCCTTAAATCCAGGCCTCTCCATTCTGCTTGGCTGGCGTCCTTCCATGTCCTCAAAGGCAGTGGGAACTTTGGGCTTGTGGCTGTAGCCATTAATAAGTCCCTGCACCTTTGGGTCCTGGTCTGCCCTGAGGCTGTGGGGAGGGGAGGGGTGGCCTGCAAGGAGGTTCCCCAGCCTTCCTCTTAGTCCTCAGATTATTTCTGGGCACCAGGGCCCATTTGGAGGCAGCAGGGAGGCTCCAGGTTCTCCTCAGGCCTCTTGGCTTTCCCAACTAGAAACACTTGTGTCTGGATGCCACTCTCTCCCCATTCCACAGGGGGCTTTCCTCTGGTACTCCATTACCCTCTCTACTCTGGGACCAGAGAGGGAAGCTCCCAACTGTTTCTTCATTAAGTGTTCTTGTCTCCACTTTCAGCAGGGCCCAAGCCCCGGTGGCCACATACACACATACAGACACAGACATACACACACATACACATACACACACATACAGTCATGCTTATTTTATATCTAATGACTAACATACTTTCCTACCTTTATAGATGGAGATGCCCTGACAGATTAGGAAGGTCCAGTTAGCCACTAAAGCCAATAAGAACTTTCTGGGTCCCTGCCCCCCAAGAGATATGTATTTATCTCTTGGCCCCAGGGAAAGGGGCAACAGCTCTTCCCAAAGCCTTCTGCAGCCCAGCACATCTGCCCTGTGGTCGGGCCCCAAGCAGCAACGCTCCCATTTGCTCAACCCAAGTCCCACTGTCCTACCAGCAATCGGCCCTGTCTGAGGTTAGCTTCATGGAGCTGTGGACATGGGGGAGAGGGGTTCAAAGCCCCTACATGTGACCTCCCATCCAGCCTCCACAGCTGAGTACGGGTCTTGCCCTCAGTCAGTCTATATGAGACAGGCAGAGCTCGAGGCTGGAACACAGGAAAACCCATTCTAGACCTAACCCTGTCCCGGTCTTGCTGGATGACCCTGGACGATGTTCTCCCTCTCCAGGGCTCAATTTCCTCCTGGGCAAATGGAAAGGTTTCTGGTGCATTCCAGGTTTCCTCTGATTGAGTCCCTGCAACGCCTGGCCCAGACAAGCTGTTGAGAACAGCTTACCCACAAGCACTCATTGTCATGAGCCCAACAGGAAGGACTTTGCCAAGCCCTGCCCCTAAAACGGCTCCCTGCCTGGGCAGGGGACTTCGAGGAGGAGAGAAGGGAAGGAACCAGGACCCTTGGGTTGGGGCATCAGCCTGGTCCCTGCAACAGTGACTTTGTCCAGATGTAAGAAGATCAACCACCAGGGTTTGCTGCTATCAGTGAACTTTTATTGAGTGCATTTTCTGTGTAGAGCCCTGTACACAAAGTGGAAGAAAACGGAATGCACAGCCAAGCCCCTGCCACAGAGGATGGAACAGAAGGGACACTGAGGGCACAGAAGCAAGTTTCAGCTCTGAGATGGTCACTATGGAGCCCTGATGGGCAAGCAGGAAGCACCTGCCACTGGTGTTACTGTGGGGACAAGATGCCACCCTCCTCACCCTCCAAAGTGGCTACATTTCAGCCCATTCAGACTTTTGGAATGCCACACTTCTTTCACCTCCCAGCTGCTAGGGCCTCCCCCAGGCAAGCTGTGTAGCCAGAGTTAGAAAATGGCTCTGACGCTGCTAAGGACTGCTGGGAGATGGAAGGAAGATGGACAAGAGCAGCTCAGGGAGAAAAGGAAAGAAGAGGAAGGAGAAGTGGGCTCAGGCAGCATGAGGCATCACTGGCGCATCCACAGCCACAGGTTGGCAACGCAGACCGACACCAGCATGGTGAAGAACAGAGCATCCCTGTGGCGCCAGGTGGCACCCTGGTCCTCCAGGTCTCGCAGCCGGCTGGTGATCACGTGCATCTGCAGAGACCAAAGGGGCTGGTGAGTGAGATTCTCCTGGGGAAGCCAATGGCTCACCACCGGGGAAAGTATGAACTTAGTACAGGAAGGGGCCTTGCTGCCCTTGGGAGGCCAAAGTGCCTCTGGGTGAGAAAGAGGCAGAGCAACTGAAACCAGGGGCTGGGGTGGGCCCATGGCACCGAGGGCCGGGCTGCCTGTGTCCGCAGGCCCAGCGGCCTTGCCCCCTCACTGGTGTTCACCCAGCTGTCTGGAAGAGGCTGGCCCGTCCCAGCTGTGGGGGGGGGGGGGGAAGGGCGTTTCAGTCCTGGGGCAGGCCGGCATGGGGGCAGCTGCAGCACCAGAGTAGAGGCTCCAGGATGGGTGACACTCGGGGTTCAGAGACGGCCACCAGGGCAGATGTCCCTCCGGGCCTGCTGTGGCCTCTCCTTGAGAAGACAACCTCTTCTATTGCCTCTTCATCCTCCTTTTGACTTCCCCTATTCCCTTCCCACACATCTCAGGGAGAGAGGCAGGGCTGAGGCTGCCATCAAGATGGGACACTAGAGCCCTGAGGACTGGGAGGAAAGGAAGGGGAGCCTAACCTCACCTCCACAGCTAGAGGCTAAGATGACTTCAAGGGGGGTGGTCTCATTGCTGCTGAGGCCCACCTGCCCCAAGACACCATGATTCTGCTTCCACCCTCCCAGTGGGTCCATGGCACAAGAGATGCTTACCTGCCTTCTCATGACTTCCATCTCCAGTCCATTTAGCTCTTCCAGGCCAATCTCTGCCACCATATCTGCGTCTATGTTGCTGGGAAATAAGACAAGACAGAGGGTTGAGGGCTGCTGGTGGTCCCAGGCCAGGCATGGCAGGGAGCATAGGAAGGCCATGAGGGCAAGCCGGTAAAGTCAGGTGTTTTTCTGAACAATGACTCTGTCATCCTGAGTCCTTTCCTTCCCGGGTAAACAGATCCTGGGACCTGAGGGCTGGGAGCCACCCTAGCCCAGCCTCAGTGTGCTCAGAGGCCCCAAATGGGCAAAAGACCAGGAGGTTCAGGGGCTATGATGAGGAGACAACAGAGCCCCAACATTCCAAGCATGGCCAGCTGCTCACAACACCTTCCCGGTCAGTCTGTTTGCTAGCCCATCTGGTCCACCCTGGTCCCTGCCCAAAGAGCTCCAGCTTTCCTCCTGCAGGATCCCTGGGATCTTTCTTACCGCTCATAATGGAACCTCATGTTTTGGAAGCCACCAGGACACTCCTGGGGGTGCGCACCACCATGGCCTGGTTCTCTCAACATTCTGGGCATTGGCAGCTGGGACCCCTAAAGAAAGGAATGGTCAGTAAAAGTAGCCTACTCAGTCTCAACTGAGCAGCTACCCCCCATTGCCTAAGACCAATGGTGTACCCTATCAGGAGTCATGTGGTACCTGATCCTCTGGAATCAGGGGTTGGCAGCTTCAGACCACTAGAAGAGCTTGGGAATCCCACAAGTTGGCCAATTGCCACAACTCCACCCATACCATGCTCCTCAGTAGCTTTTAGCCATCCAAGCTATGGGGAAAGAAGAGCAGTGACAGGGATCCCTGTCCTCTGCCAGCACTGTCACATGCAGACATCAGCTGAGTCAGAGAGGAGAATGGAAAAGCTCAATTTTAGAGCCAAGGAAACTGAGGCCTGACAAATGACTGCACTTCCCAAGGACACACAGTAAGTGTTGGAGCTCAGGATAGAACGCTGACCACTGGGAGACCATAACCTCCTTCTCTGGGTGAGCACAGCCATCCCAGCGGCTTTCATTTTTATCCATCTGCTAATGACTACCTGGAGTGGATGTCTCTGGCCCACAGCTCTGGGGCTAGGGTATCTCATGCCTTGAAAAGCCAATGTGCACTAGAGGAACAGAACGTGCCAGACCCACCTGGATTCAAATCTCAGCTCTAGGTTTCCAGTGCAAGATGAAAAATTTCACAAGCTATTTGGTTTAACACATGCCACATGCCACCCTGTAAGCCCTTACCAACATCAAGTCATTCATGACCCTTCAAAATAGGCATTACTATCATCCCACTTTGAAAGATGGGAAAACTGAGACACAGAGAGGTCACATTACTTGTCCGAGTCACACAGATAGTAAGTAGCAGAGCAGTCATTTAAAGCCAGGATATTTTGCTCCAGAGGTTGTGCTTTTAACCATTATACCAGGATGCCTCTCATATTGGACACCACTTCCCCTTCAGACTCCATTAAAATGAAAGTGAAGAGAGTAAAATGGTATAAAACCTGTAAGAAAGAAGATAACAGGAGAGGAGAGGCCACAAATGATGAGAGAGGTCAGCAAGACTGTGGCATTCAGAGAGTGCTGAGAACAAAGCCAAGGGAAGCAGGCCTTGCGGCTCAGAAGCAGATGGGGAGCAGCAGAGGAGGGAGTCCCCCTCCTGTCAGTGGCCAGAGAGGACCCAGACCTGGAGGCTGCAGGGACACTGGGGTGGTCTTGAGGACCTGGTGGGTGGGGGTGGGGGACAGCTGCCTTGGCTTAAGGTCTGTACATGGAACAGTCATCTAGCCCTCTTACCCCACCTGGCTGGCAGCCAGGCACTTCCCCCTGAGTTCAAACCTGAGCTAAATGAATGGAGAAGCAGGGGTGGTTTTGCCACAGAGCAGAGTCCTCTCCACTTTGGCATTTACAGGTGCCTCCTGCACAGCCCACCTTCCTGAAGTAGAACCTGCTGTCTCACAGGCCTCACCAAGGCACAGAATTCTTGGTTGGCTCTATTTGCCTCATTCTTAACAAGAAACAGACAACCTAGGCTCACCTGTCACCTGAAAAATATCTGCAGCCTTCCTATGTTCTTAAGAGCAATAGTAAACTGCAAGGTTGAGTGATTTCTGTATAAAGGATTTTCATGGGAACTTTGCCATCATGCTCCATTTGTTGTAACAATGCAAAATTTCTCTTTCTCAAAAGTATACACAGATATTGGTGTCACTTTTTCTGTGTGAACAGTACTTGACAGTCATGCTACTATTTTATTTTCCTCCTCATCTTCTTCTTACAATACCTCAAAAATAGGATGAAAATGACAGTGTGTGTCAAGAAAACCCCAGGACAATAAAGGAGAATTTGATTGAGAGTTTCTCTTAGAACAATTTCCACACCATCCCCTTGATTTTCCTACAGATTGGGATCAGAAAGACAAAAGGTTTTTTGAGAGATCTGAAGGCAAATAAGGATGAGTAACTGGTGGCTGGGGTTTGTTTGTTTGAAATAACATAGTTTGTTTTTAACACATAAATATAACAAGAATTAATGTGACAACAACTGCAAGTCGATGATAGCTTATTGTGGTTTCCATCATAAGACAGGTCTAACTGTTCAAAACCAGTTGTCTTGTTTTTAATTTTAGAAACCCTTTATTTAGAATTATATGCATTGTAAAACATAAGACTTTTATAGCAATTTGATGGAGATTAAGAAAATCTATGAATTTCAACAAGTCCTAGCTTCCCTCTACTATTTCAAAAAGTGTTATTTTTATGTTCATGTACTTTTCAAGGCACACTACTTCCCCCACACCCAAATCAGCAGAACGGTATTATGAAATTTTTTTGTCCTTTCATGTTGTGGTTCTCTCAGAGGTGGTTAGGGTTCCATTCTTTTTTTTTTTTTTTTCTTGGCTCAAAAGTAAATGATAAATAGAATTGATAAATTTCTTAATTCTAAATGTCTAATTTCTTTTTTAAAAAAAGATTTTATTTATTTATTTGACAGAGAGAGATACAGCGAGAGCAGGAACACAAGCAGGGGGAGTGGGAGAGGGAGAAGTAGGCTTCCCGCTGAGCAGGGAGCCCAATGTGGGGCTCGATCCCAGGACTCTGGGATCATGACCTGAGCCAAAGGCAGACGCCCAACGACTGAGCCACCCAGGCTCCCCCTAAATGTCTAATTTCTAAATTCAATATAATGACTGTTTATTTTTAAAGTACTCCTGTGGTCCTAAGAGGTAACTATAATTAATCCAGAGATTATGTCTCCCCACTGCCCCCCAAACACCCTATTCTCCCTCAGTCTCATGAGCATGGGTGGCTTGCTGGAGCCTGAACTGCTGGAGCAATTTGATTTGAATTCCACTTTTGGACACAAGAAGCCAATTCAATATTTTGGTTTATTTTCTTTCCCAGGAGGTCTCTGATCTGGGAGCTCTATTTCTCTTTATTCATTAGCAGTGGAATCATTTGGGCCTTTATCATAACTCATTCCCTAGGAACAGCCAGGCCTCCCTACTCTCCAACCTTGTTGCCTTTCCCCACTAACCTCTGCAACACTGGAACACCATGGTGACCCTGGCTAACAGAATCCACTACAGAACTACCCGACTCAAGTAATTCCCTAGAATATTCAGGTCATCCTCCTCTCCAAAATGGCTGCCTTTTCCCAGTACCCTTTGCAACAATATGGCTGCCATTTTTTCTTTCTGGAACATTCCCTCACCCAAGGTGAATGTAGCTTAAAGGATTAGCTACAGAACAATGGGACTCAGATGATTTCCCAGAACATTTGGTGTCCCTCCCTCTCCAACCTAGTTGCCTTTTCCCAGTAACCTTTGCAACAGTATAACAACCATTTTTCTAAAACTTTCCCTCAGGCGCAGTGAAAGTAGCTTTAAAGGACTGGATACAGAACTTGAAACTCACATGATTTCTTCCAACAGCCAGGTCCCCCTCCTCTCCAACTTGGTTATCTTTTCCCAGTAACTTTTGCAACAGCATAGCAACCATGTTTCTAAAACTTCCCCTCACCCACCAGTGAATAAAACCTAAAAGATTGGCTACACAGTGAGAGAACGCACGTGATTCCCCAGAACACTCAGGTCTCCCTCTTCTCCAAAATGGCTTCCTTTTCCCAGTATCCTTTGTAACACTGTACCTGCCATTTTTTTCTAGAACATTCCTTAACTCACATTAAATTAATTTAAAGGATTGGCTACAAAATAGTCAGATTCAATTGATTGGAATTCCTAACAGCAAGGGAGCATAGGAACCTAATTTGCCTTACCTTTGTCCCAGCCCTGAGAAATATATTTTTTATTTATATATATTTATATTTAATCTATTAGATGCGGCCCATCCACATTATCAAAGATTAGTAATCCTTTACTTAAAGTGCACACAGTGTAGATGTTAACAAAGCTACAAAATACCTTCATAGCAACACCTAGACTAGTGTTTGATGGAATAACTGGGAACTACAGGCTACCCATATGGACAGGTAAACTTGACCCTCACAGTGGTCTAATCACTAGGGAAGCTGAGGGAGAATTTGGACTTAGACCAGGGCATGGTCTAGACTGTAGGGCATGCCTGGGGATGGTGGGACTTCCCCATTGGCTGCGGGCAGATCGCTTCTTTCCTGCCCTTCCCTCCTTTGGTTCTCATGGTTCCTGCCCAGGCTGATTATTTAATTAATAATTAAATAATTTATATAATTATAATTATAATTTATATAGATAAATATTTATGTATAAAATATAGATATATAGAGAAATATAGAGATTTATTCATTCATTTATTTATGAAGGAAAGTTTCATTTCACACACACTAGAGTTTTGAGGAGTAAAGTGTATATGTAGTCCCCAAGTAATATGTGATTCAGGTGTTCTGGACTCTCAAGGTTGAACTCCCAGACTACCAAAGGATGGCCGTGACCTCTCATTGGACATCCCTGCCTTCACTGCCTCACCAGTACACAGGAGCTTCCTCCCTTGCCCCCAAGTCAACATCTGGCTCTGCTTGACCTACCATCATCAGGCAGCCTGTACGCCCAACCCCAACCCAGCTGTTGCATGCCAAGGACTCCACACAGTACCGTTTTCTTGGGCCGGGTGGCAGTCATATTCCAAACCGGTTGACCTGCAGCAAAGCCAGCAGGCTTTGCATCCAACTTTTGTCGCCGCTGAGAGGCACCCAGGGACTGGGATCCATGCTCCGTCATTTCTAGGAAGAAGAAGAAAAGCCCCAGGAACACCCATAGAGGCTGTGCCAAGGCTTCCTGGGCACGGGATGCACCAGAAAGAGGATAAGGTACCCAAACTTCTTAGGAATCATTCAACACTCATTAACTGCTGTCCATTGGCAGATCCCAGGCCTCAGTCTGTTCATCTGTTCAAAAGTTTAGCAAGTATTTACTGAGGGCCACGCTCTGGGCTAGGTTACTGGAAGGAGAGCAATGACCAAGAGACAAGATCTCAGCAATCAAGTAACCAACTGTCTGTGTGTGCACAGCGTGAGTGAGGAGGCAAAACAGAAATAATCCATCAGTGTTAATTCAGATCAAGAGATACATGCTCCCAAAGTGATAAGAATGGGGCAACATGGCAGAAGGAAGGGACTACTTCTAGAAAAGTCAGAAACAACATTGAGGCAGAGACCTGAAAGAGCAAAAGATCCCTGCCATGTAAAATCTAGGGAAAGAGCATCCCAGGCAGAGGTAACAGTCAACACAAAGGCTGTGAGGAAGAACCAGCCTTGGGCTGTTATAAGGACAAGCATAAATGCAGTGTGCAGTGGTTCACCGTGCCACAGCATGAAATATCTTGAGGAGGTCACCTTGATTGGCTCTTGTAGATCATAGAAAGGAGTTTGGATTTTACTCTAAAGGAAGAGAAAGCATTGAAGGACTAAAGGAGAGAATTGATCTGATTGATCTTATAAATTGAGCCCTCTGGATGCTTTGCCATAGACACAGTGGTAGCTTGAACAAGGGGGAGATAAGGACCACCCATGTGGTCCTTATCCTACTCTCTCACAGGCTGCAAAATGCTCACATCATCAATTCCCTTCCCCCCAGCTTCCCTGTCTCTCAAGCCACAAGTACATGTATATGCATACCAAGGCACAGACACACCTGTAGCCATACATACATGCATATATATGAGTCTGCCTAGCCATACACACACCTTGCACAGGTGCAGACACCCAAGGAAAAGGACATTACAAGGGCTCCTCACCTGCTATCACCAGGTGCTGTTGGTTTTGCACACAGCTTCCAGGAACCCGCTCTTCAGCCAGGGATGTTTCCATCTCCTCCTTGATGCTAGGGGGGCCTCCTGCCATCACAGCCAGTTTTTCACTTTTAAGCTATAGCCAAGGATACACAGGAAGCAGGGCACAGAGCAGGCACTTGGAAAATCAGCTCTTCAAGGGGTAGGAGCTCAAGCAAGATATAGCTGGATATGGGGGTGGAGCCAGACTCCCGCACCGGGCTCAGGCCTTGGACCCAGCACCTTGTGTTCCTGCTGTATCTTGTTGGCTTGGTTCACAGCCTTCTCCCCTGCTACTCTGTAAGCAACTTAGGAGGAAAGATAAGTGTCAGAAACTTTGCCTGTGAGAACTACCCTGGCTCTCAGGTCACTTGATTTGGCCCCATTGAGGGGCAGGTGGGATCCACCCTCCATCATTTCTAAAGAGAAGCAAGTACTAAAAAAGAATAAATAAAATAAAGAGAAGCAGGTACTGGCACAGGGCCCCAAAGCCAGTCAGTAGTCAAAACAGGGTTAGATCCCAAGACTGTCATGGCTTCTGCAAGCCCAGCTCTGGCTAGTAATCCAGGCCACAGCACCCCTTGGAAGGCATCCTCTGCAGAACACATCCTGTCTCTCCCAATCTGGAGTTCCCAGGAAAGGAGATGGCCTTTTGACGCCCTTCTTTCCTGCCCAAAGGAGGGAAGGGCAGGAAAGAAGGGATCTGCCTGCAGCCACTGGGGAGGCCCCACCATCCCCAGCCAGGCCCTACAGCCCCTGGTCTAAGTCCAAATTCTCCCTCAGCTTCCCTAGTGATTAGACCACTGTAAGGGTCAAGTTTACCTGTCCATATGGGTAGCCTGTAGTTCCCAGTTATTCCATCAAACACTAGTCTAGGTGTTGCTATGAAGATATTTTGTAGCTTTGTTAACATCTACACTCTGTGGACTTTAAATAAAGGACATTACTAATCCTTGGTAATGTGGATGGGCCTCATTTAATCAGTTGAAAGGCCTGAAGAGCAAAGACTGAGGTTTCCCAGAGGTGAAGAAATTCTGCTCAAGACTGCAGCATCAGGAAACAAGAGCGAACATAAACTACTGGGATTATATCAAAATAAAAAGCTTTGGCACAGTAAAGGAAACCATCACAAAATAGAAAGGCTACCTAGTGAATGGGAAAAGATATGTGCAAATGTTATATCTGAGAAGGCCTTAAAATCCAAAATATATAAAGAACTGATACAAGTCAACACTAGAAAAACAAAAACTCCAATTAAAAAATGGGCAGGGGACCTGAATAGACATTTTTCCAAAGAAGACATCCAGATGGCCAACAGACACATGAAAAGATGCTCAACCTCACTTACCATGAGGGAAATGCAAATAAAAACTACAATGAGATATCACCTCACACCTGTCAGAATGGCTAAAATCAACAATACAAGAAACAAGTGTTGGCGAGGATGTGGAAAAAAAGGAACCCTCATGCACTGTTGGTGGGAATGTAAATTGGTGCAGCCACTGTGGAAAACAGAATTGAGTTTCCTCAAAAAATTATACATCCACGTGGATGGGACTGGAGGAGATTACGCTCAGTGAGACAAGTCAAGCCCAGAAAGACAATTATCCTATGGTTTCCCTTATTTGTGGACCATAAGGAATAGCATGGAGGACATTAGGAGAAGGAAGGGAAAATGAAGGGGGTGGGGAACCGGAGGGAGAGAGGAACCATGAGAGACTATGGACTCTGAGAAGCAAACTGAGGGTTTTAGAGGGGAGGGGGGTGGGGGGTTGCATGAGCCCAGTGATGGGTATTAAGGAGGGCACGTACTGCATGGAGCACTGGGTGTTATACAAAAACAATGAATCGTGGATCACTGCATCAAAAACTAATGATGTATTGTACAGTGACTAACATAACATAATAAAATAAAATTTTTAAAAAAATTATAAATAGAAATAACATATGAAACAATAATTCTACTACTGGGTATTTACCCAAAGAAAATGAAATAAAACAACAACAGCAACAACAAAGAAAATAAAAACACTAAATTGAAAAGATATATGCACCCCTATGTTTATTGCAGCATTGTTTACAATAGCCAAGCTATGGAAGCAGCCCAAGTGTCCACCCATAGAAATATTGGATATTGAATAAGGAAGATGTGGCATATACATATACAGTGGAATATTGTGCAGCCATTAAAAAAAGATGAAATCATGCTGTTTGCGACAATGTGGATGGACCTAGTGGGTATTACGCTAAGTGAAATAAGTCAGACAGAGAAAGACAAATACCATATGATTTCACTCATATGTGGAATCTAAAACAACAAGCAAAAAGCAGAACCAGACCTATAAATACGGAGAACAAACTGATGGTTTCCAGAGAGGAGGGGGGCAGGGGAGTGGGAGATACAGACTTCCAGTTATGGAATGAAAAAGTCATGGGAATAAAAGGTACAGCATGAAAAATATAGTCAGTGATATTAAAATAGCATTGTATGGTGACAGATGATAGCTACATTCGTGCTGAGAATAGCATAATGTATAGACTTGTTGAATCATTATGTTGTACACCTGAAACCAATACAACATTGTGTGTCAACTATACTCAAATGTAAGAAAAAATTTTTTAAAAAACTGCAGCATCTCTCCCTGCCTAAGATTCCAGTGTGCAGGCCTGCCCCGCAAATTCTGGCCTTGCTAGCCCCACGGTGGCAGGAGCCAACTCCTTAAAAGAAATCTCTATGTATACACACATACATACATATATCCTATTGGTTTCTTTTCTCTAGAGAACGCTGACTTGATACAACCACCAGAGGTGAACCCGCGGCTCTTGGGAATAACTCCAACGTCCCTGGGGGAAGAGGAGGCTATTTGCAAAAGGAGCCAAGCACAGCTGGGGCCAGGTGGGAGGAAGAGGAGGAAACAGGGAGGAAAAGAGGAAGGGAGGAAGGAAAGCGTGAGAGAGAAAGGGAAGAGCTGGAACTTGCCTAGAGAGGGTGGCACGGTCTGGGTTGCCTGGCCCCCCCCCTGGCCCCACCTGTCCAGCTGACATAGGCCCTGCCTACATTCCTGAAGGCCCTGAGGAAGCCCTTCCCAGATCCAGTGGAGCAGCTGCAATGAAATCTGAGCTTTCTGGAAGGCCACCTTAGGAGCAGAGAAGTGGGTTTTTGTGGGACTCAGGAGCCTGGGAAGCAGGAACCATGGGCTTCTGCCTGGCCAGGGTTGCCAGATTGAGCAAATACAAATACAGAATGTCAATTGAATTTGAATTTCAAATAAACAACAAGGACGTTTTTAGTGTTAGTACACTCTGTGCAACATTTGAGACAAACTTGCACTAAAAAATTTATTCATGGTTTATCTGACATTCACATTAGACTGTGTATCCTTTATTTTATATCTGGCAACCCTACGCCCTGCCCATCCTCATCATGATCTCATTATTTGACCTTGAGCAAGTCTTTCCTTTCTTTGGGTCTCAGTCTCCCCGTTTGACAATGGAGCTAACAATCCCTTCTCCACAGTGTGGCTGGTAAGCCCCCACTGTCTAGTGTGCCAACCTTGGCGGCTGGAAGGCCTAGAGCATCCCTAGAGCAGAGAACTCTGCCAAGCCTTATGGGGGCCCGGAGGATGGCTCATGGTTAGTGTAGGTGGTGGGCTTACAGAGACCTAGACCCCAGTGGAAGGCTCCCCAGAAAAGAGGGCCAGAGAGCCCAAAGCTCTTTCCACCCCAGAGATGAGACAGATGCTTCTGGAAAGGGGAAGGAGGGGCCCAGAGAACATCTGGCTGAGATGTGTGTATATGTTTGCAGTGCTTTACACAAATGAGATCATACATTTGAGGTACGTGCCCATTCTGCAGTTTACTTTTTTTTTTTTTGCAAGTACCTGAGACATAGTAGGAAAGTCCTTATAAAAGTTTAAAAGAAAAACACATAGAAATGTGTAACCTTACATGTACACACTTCAGTGAAAGGAAGGCCAGGGAATTCTTGTCTATCACTTTCTTTCTTTTTTTTTTTTTTTTTTAAGATTTCATGGAATTTTTTTCTCAGTTTTATTGAGAAATAAGCAACTTACTTTTTTAAGTGCACAGTGTGCCTTGGGGATCTTGCATGTCAGAACAAATCTCCCTCACGTCTTTTAAACACAGCTTTTGCTGCACAGCTGTGCCCCTGTTTATTGACCCGCTTGTGGACATTTTGGGTGTCTAGAGTTTTTCACTTTTATAAACAAGAAACTGTGAGCATTCCTGGACATGCCTCTTTGCACACATATGTAAATATTTTTGTAGAGCAGGTGCCTAGAAGTGGAATTTGCGTGGTTCTAGGGTATGTGTGTGGACAATTTTTACTAATATTGACCGATATTGTCAGTGCCCTTCCTAAGAGACTGTGCCAAGTGGGACCTCAACAAGGGGAAGAAAGTTCTGTTTTCTTCACAGCTTTATCAACAGAAGATATTATGAAACTTTCTAAAATGCATCAGTATGATGGGTAGAAAATGATATCTATCTCACTGTTGCTTTAATTTTATTGCTTTAATTATGAATAAACCTGAGCAATTTTTCATATGTTTATTGATCTTCTGTATTTCTTTCCTGTGAACTGTCTGCTGGAGGGCTTGGATCTTTATTAAAATGAGAGCTGTTTTATTAACAGAAAGGGATGGAGATGAAAGCTCTCCCTCCTTTCAAGCTAAGCATCTCCAAAGAAAACATATCATCTTTTTCCCTAAAGGTGATCATGAGCACATAGCCTCCACTGGGGGCCAAACAATTCCAGTTAATTGCATCCAAGTTTGTGCTGAAATCTAGAGGGCATCCAGCCCCCCCACAGCGCAGGCTGTTGTCTGCCTGTCGGCCTGCCTGTCTGCTCTTGTCTTATGTCTGTCTGTCTCTCTGCCTGCCCAACCACCTGCCGCCAGGAACCCGGGCCCAGGATCCGTACACCTGGGAGTGACACCGGGGCATCTTTGGCTAGTTGTTTCCCATGCTCTGAGCCCCTGTTTCTCATCTTCACATGGAAGATTGGACTAAAACCCAGTTTTAAACTATGTTTTATGGTTTCAGGGAGGTATGTTGGGGCTACCTGGGCTTCAGGGCAGACTC